TGTGTGTGTGTGTGTGTGTGTGTGTGTGTTTCAGGGCCTGACACAGGTGTTTGAGGAGAACAAGAAACATTACGGCATCGCGGACGACAAACATCTGAAGTTCACCTGAACTGATCTGTGTGTGTGTGTGCGCGTGCGTATGTGTTTGTTTGTGTGTGTGTGTGTGTGTGTGTGTGTGCGTTGCATATAATCTAGAATGATTATCTACCATCTAGTTAAAGGTCTTGGTACGAGGGGTTGTGTAGTTGTGTTGTCATGTGATATGACGATATTCAGAATAACCCACAGCTTGAGCTGAAGTACGGTTACTACACAGTGTATAAAACATTAAGGAGATCCTTTTACTGTTATCCTCCTTCACTACAGTATGGTAAATATTGTTACTGTATTTTATGACTTCATTAAAACACTATGTGACCGCCATTAAGATTATTAAATGTTCAGATTAAACAGGTCATGAACACTCTGGGTTTTACAGATCTTCAGGATTCCCTCCTGTGCTTAAATCAGATTTGTTCTTAATCAGCAAATGTGTGTTGATGTGTATGACAACAGAAACACAAATAAAGCGGTGCTGTTTATTATTTTATAATGTATCATATTCATTCAATTCATGCACTACACTCACCGGCCACTTTATTAGGTACACCTTACTAGTACCGGGTTGGACCCCTTTTGCCTTCAGAACTGCCTTAATTCTTAATAGTGTAGATTCAACAGGGTACTGGAAATATTCCTCAGAGATTTTGCTCCATATTGTCATGATAGCATCACACAGTTGCTGCAGATTTGTCGGCTGCACATCCATGATGCCAATTTCCCGTTCCACCACACCCCAAAGCTGCTCTATTGGATTGAGCTCTGGTGACTGTGGAGGCCATTTGAGTACAGTGAACTCATCGTCATGTTCAAGAAACCAGTCTGAGATGATTAAGCTGTATGACATGCTGCGTTATCCTGCTGGAAGTAGCCATCAGAAGATGGAGACACTGTGCTCATAAAGGGATGGACATGGTCAGCAGCAATACTCAGGTAGGTTGTGGCGTTGATGCTCAATTGGTACTAATGGACCCAAAGAAAATCTCCCCCACACCATTACACCACCACCACCAGCCTGAACCGCTGATACAAGGCAGGATGATCCATGCTTTCATGTTGTTGAGGCCAAATTGTGAGTCGAGCATCCGAATGTGACAGCAGAAATGGAGACTCATCAGAGCAGCAACGTTTCTCCAATCTTCTATTGTCCAGTTTTGATGAGTCTGTGTGAATTGTAGCCTCAGTTTCCTGTTCTTAGCTGACAGGAGCGGCACCCGGTGTGCTCTTCTGCTGCTGTAGCCCATCCGCCTCAAGGTTGGCCGTGTTGTGTGTTCAGAGATGCTCTTCTGCAGAGCTCGGTTGTAACGAGTGCTTATTTGAGTTACTGTTGCCTTTCTATCAGCTGGAACCAGTCTGGCCATTCTTCTCTGACCTCATCAACAGGGCATTTGCGCCCACAGAACTGCCGCTCACTGGATATTTCCTCTTTGTCAGAGCATTCTCTGTAAACCCTAGAGATGGTTGTGCGTCCCAGTAGATCAGCAGTTTCTGAAATACTCAGAGCAGCATGTCTGACAGCAACATCCATGCCACGTTCAAAGTCTCTTGAATCCCCTTTCTTCCCCATTCTGATGCTCGATATGAACTGCAGCAGATAGTCTTGAACATGTCTACATGCCTAAATGCAGTGAGCTGCTGCCATGTGATTGGTATAGAAATATGCCTTTAATGAGTTGTTGGACAGGTGTACCTAATAAAGTGGCCTGTGAGAATATATATATATACACACTCACACACTACCGGTCAAAAGTTTGGGGTCAGTAGGATCTTTAAATGTTTTAAAATAATCTTCTCCTGCTCACATAGTCGGTGAGTGGACGCATCTTACAGCAGCATTTTTGTTTTGATTGTTTTAAAGGAATAATTTACAAAGAAAACTCTGTAATTTACCTACAATGATCTTTTTTTAACCCTGTTTCGCCCACTAAAGCTAACCAGTCGCTCATTGAACCTGTTTGAGTTTTTTTTTTTTTTTTTTTTTACACAGAAGAAGTTATTTTGAAAAATGTGACCCTGTAACCATTGACTTCCAGTTGTTTATTTCTAATAGAGTAGTTAATAGTTACAGGTTTCCAACATTTTTCAAAATAACTTATTTTGTGTTCAACAGAAAGAAGAATCGTGCTGAAATTTGGAAACACTTGAGGGTGAGTTAATAATGAGTATATTTTAATTTTGTGTGGACTATCCCTTAAGATGAAGAAGATGCAGTTGTTTGACGTATTCGCTAGGTGGCGATGTGAACCAACATCTTTCATTTGAATTTACTTCATTATGCTTTTTAACCATTTCAAACGTACATTAAGAATATACGTGAAGTATTATTGTTGTTATTATGAATAAAACAATATTAATGGTTTATTTGTAGTTAGCTTTCCTTCTAAATTCTGTGTTTCAGCGTGTTTGTCGACGTTACGAATCATACTACAGCCAAGGATTATCTTATGAATATTAATAGAGTCAAACTGACGTTGATTGGCTGCATTGTTTGACTGGCTTCATTCATATTCACGAACCACGCCCTCGCCGTAGTAGGATTCATTCGCAGGAGAGGAGGCGGAACTTCCGGGTGATGGAAAGTTGTCAACAGTTTCGTTGGAGGAGAATTAATCTGCAAATCTGTCCTCGAAAGTGTCGCTTTAAAGAAAAGCCGAGAAGAAAACTGTTAAGGAAAGTGCGGCGGCGGCGTGTTCGTGGATGTACCGTTAGAAACGGGAAGAGGGTGTGTGGGTGTGTGTGAGAGTGTGTGTGTGATTAGTAGATTATCGGACTGATGGAGAATAAACACACTGCTCGGGTGTGGAAGAGACAAACTCCCGCTTTCTAACGGGACTTTCAGCCTTGTGGATTCATCTTATTTTTTTTATATATTTATATATATTTTTCCCGCTCTTCAGTGTGTGAAAGTTCACTCAGTCTGCGTCTGTCAAGCGAGACTCTTCATGGGATTAACACACAGACTCACTGTTTTACATTTTGTGGGATTTTTACAAATCTCAGACTCTCTTCACTGAAGTGATTGTGTTATTACTGTTCTCCGGGCAGACCTGCCCTGACGCGGGTTTGCTTTGTTTTGGGTAAATGTCAACTTTGGGCTGCAGCACTGTTGTGCAATTCTTCACTGTCTGCGCGCGTGCCCGTGCGGGTATTTGCTTAAGGCGATAGACGTGCGCGCGTGCACGAGCGTGTCCGATGACGTCATTTCTGCGCGAGCTAGTGATGTGCAACTGGTTGGGTTTTTCTGTGAAGTTAAATCTTGATAACAGAACGCAGAGCTTGCAGTAATGGTCTGGTTTTCGTGCAAGTCTGAAATTGCTGAAGTAATTGGCATGCTTTAGAGGTCTGATGTGCGGAATAACGAGTTCTGAACTTTCTGAGGATTAAAAGCTTGATCCGCTTTGAAATCAAATGTGCTTGGCTCCAGTTTTAATTCGGGATGCCAACTTTTAAAGTTTAAACTCTTTATAGTTTGTGAGTTTTGTTCTTGATGGTTTCTCTTTTTTTAATTGGCGATAAATGCATGATCAATTTTTAATTTGCAGACTCTAATTACTGAAATTAGTTTAGTGCTGTTACTTTTCCATCTTTCTTAAATGTTATTTAGTTATAACATGTGGTACTTTCTAATTTAAATTTAGTCCTAAAGCTGCTCAGAGTTTTGTCCTCTGGTTTTAATTCAGATTTAAGTGAAAATATTGACCTGCTTTTAATCTGAATTTGTGAGAACACTTTCTCCAGACTCCATTTTAGACTCTTGAATTTTCTCAGTGTTTTGAGCTTTTCAGCAAAATCGCAGAGCTTTTCCATCTGATCCAGTTTAACTTAAACGTTAAAAATAGCAAGATCACTTCTCATTTGAGTCAAATGCGCTGTCAGAACTGTGGCATTCAGAGTAATTCTGTTTGAGGTTTACTCCTGGAGTTGTTGAGTGTTTTCCACTTGCTCTAGTCACGTTTTCTTTTAAGGTGAATCCTGTGAGCAGACGTGTATCTGCAGACGTGGGGATTGAGTTTGATTCTGTCTGCTCTTGACAGTTCTTTCACATATCGCCTGAACAGAATGTCAACGGAAACTGAACTTCTTGTTTTTGCAGTTACCAAACTTGTCCTGCAGACCTGAAATGATGCCCCGACACGTTCAGACTCTGAGCTGCAGAAAAACGCCCTAATTATGGTATTTATGTCGCTAACATCTTTTGGATGGACTGATTGACACTGAAATCCTCAGATCTGTGCATGCTCAGGAGTCTCTTCATTGTGTCTGGAGCTGCAAACACACACACACACACACACACACACACACTCTGCAGGACAGCCAGAGGAAACAGCCATCAGAGCTGAGGCTTGCGCAACCACTGGGCAGAGAAACTGCTCTTTTTGCTGTACAGTCGAAATACTGGAAACTGCCGCAGGGGGAAGAAACGGAGTGGCAAATGCAATGGAACAAATCTGATTTACGTGACTTTCGCTTTTGACAGGTCTGACCGCACACCTGTGAGGACGGAGAACATGTTTTTTTCACTTTGGCATGGGTAGGACGTTTTGTTCTTAAAGAGTTTTTGCTGTGTGGATTTCTCTTTACTGTTTAAGTGCCAGATAATGAACAAAGATCGCATTCGGAGCGCAGAAGCATAACGTCACTGCGCTGACACATCCAGAATGAGTGGAGGAAAGAAACGCAGCGGATTTCAGATCACCAGCGTCACCTCGGATTACAATCAGAGTTCTGCGGAGAGCCATCCTGTGGAGCTCCTCAGCCCTGGGACTCAAAGAGCCACGCCCCCTTCTGCCAGAAACCCCGCCCATGGGCGGGGCTCTGAAAGCCAGACCACATCCCCGACTCAGTTTATATCCAATGGGCTGTCACTACGGCAAAGCCCCGCCCTCCAGACGCAGCAGAGCTGCAGTCAGCCGACCACTCCTGTCACGGCGCGGAAGCAGAACTCGTTGGATGCGGGTGGCTCGCGGTTCCGCGTGGTGCGTTTGGACCAGGGGCCGGGCGAGCCATACAGACGTGGCCGCTGGACGTGTGTGGATGTGATGGAGAGGGAGGTGGAGGAGCGAGGGCTGCGCCGTGTGATTGACAGCATGAGACACGCCCACTCGCTGGAGTCATTGGAGACTGTGGGACTGGGAGGAGCTGAAGGAGCAGTAGGCGGAGCCAGATTAAAGCCCCTAGCGGTGCACCCAGGTCACATGGTACACTCGCAGGGCACCACCCACCTGCTCAGCCAATGCCGGACAGAATACGCTCACAGTGGCCCGCCCTCACCCACATACAACCATACGCTGTATGACACACAGCCAATCACATCGCCGATCACACCTGGAAAACGTAACATCCCCGCCCCGCTGCGCCTCGATATGGACGCTGCTGGAAAGGTGAGTTCTCTGTGTTCCTGAAAGATGTGTCAAACACATGTTTACACAAAAATTGTAATTAGCCTGTGATTCACTTGCCTTGTTTGTATATGACTTCTTTTGAGTCAAATTTAAGTAATTTGTGGAGCACAAATTAAAGCATGTGCTATGATAAAGGTGCCCTATAAAGAAAATCTGGGTATGTCTAGGCAATAAGAGATCAGTAAATGGAAATGTCCTTACTGTCAGCCTCAGGCACCATTGTTTCTTTGTTCTCACGTAAATTCCATGAGTGTAAAACCCCAGTGGACAAAAGGCCAATCAGAACACAAAGCAGACTGTTACATCACTCAGCATTTGCAAATAGTTTAGGTCAGGTTCTGCATCATCCGGACCTGATGCAACATCAGGGCCCTGTTTCAGAAAGGGCTGGGCTATCAGTCATTTAGGGCGGAGCTATAAGTCATTTAGGGCTGGACTATCAGTCATTTAGGGCGGAGGTATAAGTCATTTAGGGCTAGACTATCAGTCATTTAGGGCGGAGCAATCAGTCATTTAGGGCTGGACTATCAGTCATTTAGGGCGGAGGTATAAGTCATTTAGGGCTGGACTATCAGTCATTTAGGGCGGAGCAATCAGTCATTTAGGGCTGGACTATCAGTCATTTAGGGCGGAGCTATAAGTCATTTAGGGCTGGACTATCAGTCATTTAGGGCGGAGCTATAAGTCATTTAGGGCTGGACTATCTATCATTTAGGGCTGGACTATCAGTCATTTGGGGTGGAGGTATAAGTCATTTAGGGCTGGACTATCAGTCATTTAGGGCTGGACTATCAGTCATTTAGGGTGGAGGTATAAGTCATTTAGGGCTGGACTATCAGTCATTTAGGGCGGAGGTATAAGTCATTTAGGGCTGGACTATCAGTCATTTAGGGCGGAGCTATAAGTCATTTAGGGCTGGACTATCAGTCATTTAGGGCGGAGCTATAAGTCATTTAGGGCTGGACTATCAGTCATTTAGGGCGGAGCTATAAGTCATTTAGGGCTGGACTATCAGTCATTTAGGGCGGAGCTAGGGCTGGACTATCAGTCATTTAGGGCTGGAGGTATCAGTCATTTAGGGCTGGAGCTATCAGTCATTTAGGGCGGAGCAATCAGTCATTTATGGCTGGAGCTATCAGTCATTTAGGGCGGAGCTATAAGTCATTTAGGGCTGGAGCTATCAGTCATTTAGGGCGGAGCTATAAGTTATTTAGGGCGGAGGTATAAGTCATTTAGGGCTGGACTATCAGTCATTTAGGGCGGAGCAATCAGTCATTTAGGGCTGGACTATCAGTCATTTAGGGCGGAGCTATAAGTCATTTAGGGCTGGACTATCAGTCATTTAGGGCGGAGCTATAAGTCATTTAGGGCTGGAGCTATCTGTCATTTAGGGCTGGACTATCAGTCATTTAGGGCTGGAGGTATCAGTCATTTAGGGCTAGACTATCAGTCATTTAGGGCGGAGCTATAAGTCATTTAGGGCTGGACTATCAGTCATTTAGGGCTGGACTATCAGTCATTTAGGGTGGAGGTATAAGTCATTTAGGGCTGGACTATCAGTCATTTAGGGCGGAGGTATAAGTCATTTAGGGCTGGACTATCAGTCATTTAGGGCGGAGCAATCAGTCATTTATGGCTGGAGTATCAGTCATTTAGGGCGGAGCTATAAGTCATTTAGGGCTGGACTATCAGTCATTTAGGGCGGAGCTATAAGTTATTTAGGGCGGAGGTATAAGTCATTTAGGGCTGGACTATCAGTCATTTAGGGCGGAGCAATCAGTCATTTAGGGCTGGACTATCAGTCATTTAGGGCGGAGCTATAAGTCATTTAGGGCTGGACTATCAGTCATTTAGGGCTGGACTATCAGTCATTTAGGGCGGAGCTATAAGTCATTTAGGGCTGGACTATCTGTCATTTAGGGCTGGACTATCAGTCATTTGGGGCGGAGGTATAAGTCATTTAGGGCTGGACTATCAGTCATTTAGGGCGGAGCTATGAGTCTTTTAGGGCTGGACTATCAGTCATTTAGGGCGGAGCTATAAGTTATTTAGGGCGGAGGTATAAGTCATTTAGGGCTGGACTATCAGTTATTTAGGGCGGAGCAATCAGTCATTTAGGGCTGGACTATCAGTCATTTAGGGCGGAGCTATAAGTCATTTAGGGCTGGACTATCTGTCATTTAGGGCTGGACTATCAGTCATTTAGGGCGGAGGTATAAGTCATTTAGGGCTAGACTATCAGTCATTAAGGGCGGAGCTATGAGTCATTTAGGGCTGGACTATCAGTCATTTAGGGCGGAGCTATAAGTCATTTAGGGCTGGACTATCAGTCATTTAGGGCGGAGGCATAAGTCATTTAGGGCGGAGCTATAAGTCATTTAGGGCTGGACTATCAGTCATTTAGGGCGGAGCTATAAGTCATTTAGGGCTGGACTATCAGTCATTTAGGGCGGAGCTATAAGTCATTTAGGGCTGGACTATCAGTCATTTAGGGCGGAGCTATAAGTCATTTAGGGCTAGACTATCAGTCATTTAGGGCGGAGCTATGAGTCATTTAGGGCTGGACTATCAGTCATTTAGGGCGGAGCTATAAGTCATTTAGGGCTGGACTATCAGTCATTTAGGGCGGAGCTATGAGTCATTTAGGGCTGGACTATCAGTCATTTAGGGCGGAGCTATAAGTCATTTAGGGCTGGACTATCAGTCATTTAGGGCGGAGCTATAAGTCATTTAGGGCTGGACTATCAGTCATTTAGGGCGGAGCTATAAGTCATTTAGGGCTAGACTATCAGTCATTTAGGGCGGAGCTATGAGTCATTTAGGGCTGGACTATCAGTCATTTAGGGCGGAGCTATAAGTCATTTAGGGCTGGACTATCAGTCATTTAAGGCGGAGCTATAAGTCATTTAGGGCTGGAATATCAGTCATTTAGGGCGGAGCTATCAGTCATTTAGGGCGGAGCTATCAGTCATTTAGGGCGGAGCTATCAGTCATTTAGGGCGGAGCTATAAGTCATTTAGGGCTGGAATATCAGTCATTTAGGGCGGAGCTATCAGTCATTTAGGGCTGGAGCTATCAGTCATTTAGGGCGGAGCTATCAGTCATTTAGATATAATGACAATGTTTTTTAATTGTTATATTGTTTAATAGTTATTGTAAAATGTAAAACAATAAAAACACCTAGATTTTTTTGTGAACTAACCCTAACAATTGTTTTATCATCGCAGCTGCGGACGACACGCTCCCAGCCCACATCTCCCGGGCCCCACAGTCTGGGTCGGGACAGTCCTTTCCACCCCGCCCTCACACCCATCCAGACGCCGTCCGCCCTGGCCTTAGCCCAGTCCATGTTCGGGATGGGCCGGGCGTTCCAGCTCGTGGGAGACGACGGGTGAGAACACACTTCTGTCATTAGTTTGATCATGCTTAGTTGTTTGCTGTTTGTCATCATTAGCATTTACATTACATTTGAGTCATTTAGTTGATGCTTTATCAAAATTGTGGCTCACAAATGAAGATTCATTCAGGGAATCAACATGTAAGGCAATGCAAACAAGAAGTATTAATTATATAGGGGAACTATTAGTTCTAGTGAAGTTCAGTTATAGTTTAGTTTTGTGGCTGTGTAATAATCAGCATAATGTAGATCCAGCCGGTGATTATTCAGAATAAACCCTTAAGTCTTATACAGCAGCTGCTGATAATCCTGTAGAGCTTTATTCAGCAATAATCACCATCTGGATGTACATTACCACTTATTTAGAACAACTTGCACTCAATAGAGTAGTGCAGGAATGACATCAAAACAAAAAAGCTGCATGCTATTGCAAAAAACTATTGTGATAATCTGACATTTCTTGCAGCATATATTGTAAATTTATGAATACATTTCCCTCAGATGACTTAAATATCCCTGTTAGGAAACACATGCGTTAATTTAGATTGATTATAGTGACTCTGTATGGGATTGACTCATGCGTAAAAAATAAAATAAAGAAATTACTTACACAGATAAATACAATAGAATAAAGATAACGGTGAAACAAACCTGCTTTATTGTTTTCTGTGCAGTCAGAACAGTTTCCAGACACACAAATTAAATTATCTGATGTAAAATTACACTGTGAAGTCTTCATTGTATGAATAATTAAATCAAATAAACTTTATTAAAGTAACAAATGATTAAATGTCTTGTGCCTAAATGCTTTAAACTTTATTGAAATGTTCAGACAGTCACAGGCCTTAAAATGCACACAAATGATCAACATTCACTCGATTATTGGTAAACTCTCTGGTAAACATAATAATAATGCTTTAAATTGTTGCTCTGCAATCGAAGTTAGGCTCGTCTATATTGTAAACATACATTTTGAAGCAGTTAAGTGTATTTCTTTAAACATATGCATCAATTATATATATGACTGTACATATAGCTGTAAATATAAAAAACAGTACACCTAAATGACTGTACATATATACAACTGTAAATATAAATAACGGTACACATAAATGACTGTACATATATATAACTGTAAATATAAATAACGGTACATATAAATGACTGTACATATATACAACTGTAAATATAAATAACGGTACACATAAATGACTGTACATATATATAGCTGTAAATATAAATAGCTGTACATATAAATGACTGTACATATATACAACTGTAAATATAAATAACGGTACATATAAATGACTGTACATATATACTACTGTAAATATAAATAGTGGTACATATAAATGACTGTACATATATATAACTGTAAATATAAATAACGGTACATAAAAATTACTGTATATATATATATATATATATATATATATATATATATATATATATATATATATATATATATATATATATATATATATATATATATATATATATATATATATATAT